GGCACCATCAGCTTTCTTCACCACATTTGCTTATGCACCCATTTGTCTTCAGTGATCCGTTCGACACCCCGTGATCACACAGGTTGATATGTTGCATCCTTACTTTTTGACATCGTAGTTTCCAAAGGCCAAGTCATTATGTGAAAATCGGTGTTATGCAAGAGTCAGGGTCGAACCCTCTCTTTAGTTTTGATGTCCCTTCGCTTGCTCGCTCTCTTTGGGATGCCCTCAGCGCATCTCAGGATGTGCGTGGCACATGGAGCACCTTCCACCCTCCACCAAGCCTTCCCCACCACAGTGGGAGCCACGGAAAGTGGAGCTGATCGTGGAGGTGGGCCCCTAGCCCTGCTCCTTCCCACCTTTCCCAGAGAAGGGTCTCCGTGGCAGGTGGCTCCCTGACTTGTGGACAGGTGAGACCCAGCCCCTTGGACCTAGAGAGGCCTCGCTGGAAGAAGAGATTTCGCAGCTCCTCCCTGGTTCCTATCGCTTCAGCTCCACTGCCTGCTCGCAGCCTGGTGGGCTACTCCCTGCCCATCGCCTGCCCAGCTCCTCAATCCCACCCAGGAAACATGAAGTGCTGGTGCCCCAAACAGCCTCCCTCCACAAACCCAATGTTCCTACTTCTCCCCCCTCTCACCTCAGGTCCTCGTTACTGTGCAAAACCATCAGATAGATTTTTTTTCCTATTGCCATAAATGTGAAATGGTGGTTTCAAAATAGTCCCTACGTGACAAGTAAGTGTATTATTTTCAGAGTCCCTGAGTGGTGCATAGGGCTACATCTGTGACTCCTAGCCTATAAAGGCTGGCAGTTTGAACCCAGTCAGGGGTGCACTGGAAGACAGGACTGCTTCTGAAACGCTGTGAAGCAGTGTGACTCGGCATCCATAGGTCACAGTGAGTAAGAATTGGCTCGATGGCAACTTCCAACCACGTTCTTCACTGTAGGAGGTGGTTTTGCCTTCTGGTTGTTGAGCGGCATATACTATTTGCAGTTTAATGTATATGCCATTGGCAGTATAACATTATGGTTCCGTCTAGTTCCTAAGTGCTTGTATTTTATAAGCGCTTACATAAGTATTATATTCTTGATCTTCACAACTCCCTTGTGTAATAGGTAGACCAACTGTAAGCATGTATGTTTTTGAAACTGAAGAAAGGGAGACTGAGAAAGGCCAAGGGTCTCAGTATTCGCTCTCAGCTGCACAATGCTGGATGTGCTGTTTGCTCTTTTTCAAGAGTATAAAGGAGAACCTAAGTGCATTTTCCATCTGCTCCGAAGAGAGAGACTCACAAGAGCCTGAGGAAAGCAAAGGAGAGGTGGTATTCTACCTAGCCTGTCTTCCTTTCGGCCAATGTGTGGCTTCCTCTCAACCCTCTAGGCAGCTGGGAGAGGCTTCTGGGGTCCACATCATTCAGAGTGCTATTCATCAACTTTATGCTATAGAATATTTACCTCAGGACAATAATTGTTTTTCCCCATCATGTAAAAAAGACCAGGAAACTTTTTTTTTAATCATTTTACTGGGGGCTCCTACATCTCTCATCACAATCCATCCATCCATCCATTGTGTCAAGCACATTTGTACATTTGTTGCCATCATCATTCTCAAAACATTTTCCTTCTACTTGAGCCCTTGGCATCAGTTTCTCATTTTCCCCTTCCCTTCCCGCCCTCCCTCCCTCATGAACCCT